ATTCCTGACTTAAAAGCTCTCAGAGCTGTAGATTATATACTGTGTGTATATATATATATATGTACATATATTATACATATGTATTTTCCAAGAATATCTAAATTAAAAGAGCACCTCTGACAATATCTTAACTGCCTGATCGGTGCTGCAGTTTTGCAAAATAATGACATTGCAAAAATTGTATTTCAAATCGATTCTCGTTTATTATGAACATAATGGATCTAGCCCTTTCTAACCCGCTCTTTAGGTAAAACAGGCTATCAATTCTTGAAAACTCACAACTGTGAGATATAAAACTAACCCTCCCTCCCCCTGCCAGCATAAATTCCCTCTTATTCCCAATGGCCTTAGTTTCTAGAAGCTGATTACCCCAACCTCACTACTTGGTAAATAACATACAAATGGATTCCTGTGTCATATTCTTTCCTTTTTTGGGTCAGTATGAGTAGTAAAGCATGTATGGGTAACCCTAGCCAGCCCTGCACTTGGGTTTAATACATTATTTATTACTTAAAAATCCATTAAATAAATTCAAGTCCCTAGATCCTCAGTGAAGCATAAATAAAAATTCTTGCAGATCCGTGTGTACTTCCATCTTCTTTTTCTTAGTGACACTTCAGTCACTAATGAGGTATAGACTACTAACACCACAGACTACTCACAGACCATGCAGACAAACCAGTAACACAGTTCTCCTGTCACTGCTGCACAAATCTGTACCAACCCCGTATTAGAAGAACCCCGTCCAGGTACCAGTTAAGGCTCCCTGGTCTGTTAGCTCCTCGGCTTTGCGCCGAATGACTGTTAGCAAGTACTAGATAGTGCCCATTACCCACTAGGATCTCAGTTCACTGCAAAACCTCAAGTTTTTGCAAACAGATGGTTCTACAAATGAAAGAGCCTTCATGTAGGCATGTACAGCCTTTTCCACTCAAAGCTGGAGGAACCATTCCATTCGACTGTGTAAACTGGGCCATCATCAGCTTCGTGTTTTACAAGAATGATCCTGCGTTATCAACATTTCTACATCAGCACTGGTGCTGAAAACCTGGTAACCGTGGCATGTATCTGTATTCTCTGACTTCAAGATCAGACAATTTTTATAAAAGCATTGCTGAGAATTTAGGGTCTTCTTTAAATTTGCATTGCTAAACTAATAAATTCATCTTCCATTAAATAAAAACATGAGAATCAATTCTCTATGGCAGATAAAAATAGACCATTTATAAACCCCCTCAAAACTCGTCAAAATGCATCCTTTCATTATTCTGATACTTATGTTCCATTCTTGAAATACAAATGTAATTCGAAATTATGGTTAACTCTAGATTTAAAAATAATGCTATAGGCTTAACCCTGCTCATTTTAGTCTCTTGGAAACTGAATGCCCTCTCAAATGAGAAAACTACAATGTTTAATACTGCTTAGCTGCTTGAGACTCAACTGCCCAGCGTCTTCCAAATATTCTTCTTGTAACATCACATTGATTGTATAACCTTTTAGAAGCTTATGTTTGAAATTTTATCTTAAAAACAGATAGAGTGAATGGGAAAAAAATATTAGCTAATACTTAGCTAGGCAAGGCATTAGTACAGACCAGAGTCTTACTCTTTACACAAAAGTTTGACCAGCAGCCCAAAGTAAACATACTCCACCAAATGACCCAAGTTAGTATGTCAAGAGACTGGCTTCAGATGGCCAGTAAACAAACTGCACGAGTCTTTCTGACACAGTCTTTTTGACGACTTCTTGACGTTCTTTTTCGCGTGATTCTTTTGAAGTCCTAATGCTTAATACAGACTTGTTTGTGAACATGAACTACCTTTTTAACAATGTAAATCTGGGAAAGATCACATTTCCTCAGTGCACACAAAAAAATTGATCTTGCGGACACCTGAGGCACATGACTGATTTTACTTACAGGAATAAATTACTCGGCAAATCTGACCCTTTACGTGAAAAAATCCTCCAAATAAATTAAGAGTTTAGATAGCCTGGCCAGGTTCCAATAATTAATATGGTCCCTTGCAAAGCAGAAGTTGGAATATTTGTGCTTCAAGTCCTCTTCAATATTTGAGGTTGTCCTGGTTGTTATACTGCAATTGACATTTATGTATGGAAGGCAGCCTCAAAAAATGAAAAAGAATCTAGCAAACCAGGCTGATGTTTCCATTGAGTACAATAATTTCCATTACATGAAACAGTGGTAAAGAAATGGAGATAACCTCATTGCTTGAGAGGACTTGGGACACAAGTATACTGTCATCAGGGGGCATGTATGTGGAGTTGGCCACGCTTCAACTGCCGAGTTGTTCTGCATTCAGACAGGTACTGCTTTCCTGTGTTACCCTTGCTTACTGTGTGACCGTGTTCAAAACGTCACTGCTGTTACCTTTGTCATTCCGAATTCCTTTCCCATCCAAATACCGTTTCCCAACCAATACTCTATGAGGTTGGTATTTGCTTTTTGTGCATTCAGAATGCTGAACACGCTTGCACACATAAGCTTTGAGAAGCAACAACTGACCAGTGAAGCTCATTTCAATGCTTTTTACTAGTCCAGGAGGGCATAATACAGATTACAAATGAAAATCCCTCCTGGGCTAGTCTGAAAAAGGTGTGTCACCTCCACACCAAGGACATGACTGTGAAGCGCCTTTCATTTGGCATGCTGCTTAGCTGTGTATTTTTATAGTTCATAACGAGTATGTGAAACCAATTTGGCAACCATCGCTGCTTCGTTGCACCATGCATGCTCCACGTTACCTGGCCCACAGTTCTCTGGACCAAGAGGCTGGGGTGGTTCTGTCTCTAAGGCAATGGAAAGAGCTCAGCACATATTCTTGAACTCATTACAAAAGGACCCTCCCCACAAGTAGCTTCCCAAGCGACCGCTGTCATTCCTTGAAGAGGATGAGGAGGCGAGAAAGAAGCCTGTTCTTCTTCACGCTGAGATTGACGATGAAAATAATCTTGTAGGGGGAGAAGTGGAGGCAAGTACTTGAACATTCACAGTTTGATGCAAAGCACAGATGAAGTATATTCTGTAGTTGCTTCAGGCAGTTTTGCGCATAGAAAAAAAGAAACGTTTAGAAAATAAAAAGTTTACTTTGTCTTTCTGGGCATAGCCAGAACCAGTCTCTATCCCACCTGGACAAGTGAAAATGGGAATCCAAAATTAATCTGATTTGTGGCAGTAAAGGTCCTTAAGTGCTTTCAACTCCTCAATCAATGTCTTGTTTTGGTTTTCAAGCACAGCCACTCGATTTTCTAGACATTTCACATACTCCTTTTTCTTCCTGCGACATTCACGTGCTGCCTCTCTGCAAAGCAAAACAGGCCATTCAGATCCAGAATGATTACTTGCAGACATGGGCTACTTAACTGTTCAGGTCAAACCTCTAACTAGTACTGCCATTTTTAGAACATGGAGGTATGGTTAGGAAATGCAAGTTAGGAAAAAACACTGAGTTCATAACAATTGCTCCTCGCAGATCAGACACACTCAAGATCCACAGATCATTTCAACATGCGCATCCCAGTTAAGTCGGTAATAATAAAATTCTAATTCTGTGAGAAAAGGATCCTGCTCGATGACAAGATTCTGCTTGCAGGATTTACCTTAGAGCCTTTAGGACAAGCTGAATGCTGCTGCAATAATTTCATTGACTGTATTATAATAAATAGATGAGTAATAAAAACATGGATAAGACTGATGTTAATCTATTAATCTCTTCAGAGTCTTAACTCTTCCTTTTGCTGCAGTCTAACCAAATACTAATTGTCAGGATGTTAACTGGTGCAAAAAAAGAGCTGTATTTACAGCATTCGTATATTTGCTCTTGAGCAATACTTCCAATGTATTTATAATGTCATTATGGGCAATGACAATATAAATGACTCAAAAAAAAAAAATCACAAAATAAACAGTCACTGGCAACCGTTATCATTCCTTAGTCCTTGTCTGCTGTGCCAAGAACGTGGCAGTGGTAACGTGCTGAAGCAGATCTCAAGACAAACTTTTAAGTCATGCTTGTAAAGATTGAGCTGCCTGTAGGTAACCTGGTAACACATGAAGGACACCAGTGTGAAATCCCTGAAAGGTGTTAATGTGCTGCTGGGCATCTTGAAGGCAGTAACACCAAGGCAGAAGCTATCCTGCACAGCAAGAGTCATGGTACCAATGTGCAGTAAGCAGAAGGTTAAATGCCTCCAGTGGATGGGAGTCCAGACAGAGGGCTCTCCTCCTGCAATGCAGCTTGTCAAAGCAGCACGCTGCAGATACATGTAAACACACATGCTTGTTCGCCCTCAACCTTTGGGTGTAAAGCACAGCAGCTTCAAAAGGAGAGACCGAGTGTCCCTTCACTGCAAATACTACATAGATTGGCAATACAGTCAATGTTCTGGGAAATGAGAGGACAAAACTGAACCCAGTTCTTCTTCTTATTAGATAAATAGTAGTTGTACTAGGTAAAAAAGAGAATGTCTAGCTCCAGGACCTAAAAGTAATTTTTGAAATTCAGCCCCACAAATGAGACAGGATGAAGAAAACCCAGTTTGTAATGCCCTGAAATGACTCAGGTATCCATTTCTCACTCCCACAAATACAATTTCACATGCTGGCAGCACTTCAGGAGGCCACGTGCAACATTTAGAATTTAAGTAATTTTGGACTGTTACTTGTGTCATGAAAAGATTAAATACTACTGGATCAGGAAGTGCATCGCAGCGCAAACTACTACCTGGGTGACTTCTTTTTGTGATTTTTGTGCCAGCCTGGGCTGCATATTAAGCTGCCTCAAGTCTGTCTGCATTAGTTATTCTTTACAAACAGCTAGAGTTATACTGAATTATAAGAGAGCTTTTAAATGCAAAACGTACACAGAAAATTTGCACAATAATATCTATGAATATTTACGCTGTAATCCTCCAATAAGTACCACCTCACCATCTGCCTCTCTGTATCTCTTTCCCCCCCGCTTTGCTATGGAGCCTAGATTTGCAAATATCCATTGAGCAGGCAGGCTAAAAGCAACACGATACTGTTGCAAAAGCTGTCATTTAACTCAAGTGGGGGTAATTCCCCATTTTTTTTTCTTGGCTTTCCCAAGCACAAAAGCTTTCTTTTACTGGAATAAGACTGCTGACTAAATGAGGGGATTCAGAATGCTAATTAAATTTTTCTTAAATGCAGAGCCTGCAAGGGTGACATCTACTATTCACTGATTCCAGAAAAATATATAAGAAGGGGAGATGGGCAACATTCTGTACAAAAACCTTTTAAGAAAGTGAACTCCGCTGTTCAGCATTATTTACTTCATTAAAGCCCCTCAAATAAAGCACTGGGGCTGCTCATGTAACTTTCTACTGTGTTCACTGCTCAGCGACCTACAGAAGATAAACGCACCTGTGCAACGTGAGGGGTTTTTCAGACTGACAGATGAAGTAAACAGTGCTTTCACAGGGCTTCCCCTCCTCAGAGGGGAGGGAAGCGCTACCATTTTCCCAGTGTCACAGTGTAACATACAGGCTGAAATTGGTGGCCTGTGGATGGGGTCCAAGTTTGGCCTGATGGGTCAGCTCAGGCCCACCTCTTCCCTCTTCCACAGCAGTAGGCTTAAGGAGCATCATGCCCAACTTCTCTCTGCTGCTCCCTTCCTTCGCCCTCTCCACCAAGCCCCACCTCGGCAGGCTTAGCTGTTTCTCCTCACACACTAAATCCTATAGGATCAAGTCTCCTCTCTTTCTCTCCTTCAGCCCCTATGCTGCCACTTCTGGCTCTACGAGACTTCAAAGGGAATAGCTGCTTGTTTAGCCTTTGCTTGAGTCTGTCTGCCTCCGGAGGATGAAACCCAAAGGGCAAGCAGCTCAAGACAAGTGAGACAATCATGAAAGCACTCATGAAGAGCGCAGGTGGGCCAGCAGCAAGGAGAACGCATGCAGAAGGCTAAGATAAAGAATCCAAGAAAGGAAACTATACGAATGTATTAACTCCAACTCATCTTGGTGTTTGTAAGAACATTATCTGCGGTCAAGCAAGACTCTCACCAATGACTTTTCTCCTTTTGGCAACAAACAAATTCCTACAGCTCACAGAATGAGCCTGACACCTTTACTTAAGGTTTTACAGTGACAATACAGGGCATTAGCAGATGAGCTTCTCTGCTTTGCATCTTTAAATAAAGCCAAGTTCTTCAGAAAGCATTTCATAAAATGACTAAGACCAACCAGGATTTTAAGTGCTTAACACTCTAGCTCTATGCAGAGCTGACTGGAAAAGCAAGTGTGATCTAAATGTACATGCCTGTTCTTCATTAGACGCACTTCTCTTTTCCGTGCGGCCTCTTCTGCTGGCTGGGTTGGAAGTGCTGGAGAAGATGCCATGACTACACCTGGTGCAATGGTGCTGGTAGGGGCGGTGCGAATCTGGTAGGTCTGCACGTCTCCTGAGGCAGCTGAAAGACACAAGGGGACACGATGTCAGTTTGGTGACACCACTGGTCAATGCGGCACGAATAGCCCCTAGTCATCTATCTAACCGGGCACTCTGGGCTACAGTACAGGAGGGATGACCATTATCTGGGTCATCATTGCAACCTCAGGCTTGGTTTAATAACATGTGCAACGTTTTGGGCATTCCTACTGAAGAAGTCTTCACTTGTGCTTGATAACTTGATTTGTCTTGCTGCATTGCTGTGCTTCTTTCTCGCTTAGTGTATTTCTTTTTACTTCTCTGGTTTTGGGAGTCTTTTAGCAGTTTTAAGAAGATGAAGGATGGTGAACAGTATTTCTAGCTATGCTCCAAATGTCTAGCTGCAAAAGGAGAAACTGCACATGTAAGTACCTGGCACAGAAGAAAGCGTGTAGAAATGTAGCATTTACTTCAACAAGAGTGCAAACTAGGTGTGCCTACACCACTGCTTCTCTAGAATGAACGAGGTCTTGGGTTTCTTTTGCTTATTATAATCTAGGAGTGAGTTATTTTTTTTACAGCCTCAGGCAAATATATGATACTATCTAAAGAAAGCTCATGTCCTTAAGAAAACAAAACCCAGAAGATTCAATGCAACATTAGTATTTTTCTCAGCTATGTACTTTCACTGATGCCTGGAGAACTCTTCACTATGTAACTTTCAAATCACCTGTTTTACAAAAATAAAAGACAGGGGTACCCTCTTCTGTTATTTTTTAATAAACAATTTTAATACACCCCCCCAATTTTTAATACATAAAAAATCCATTTTAATACAATAAAAAATGCCAATTTATTCTAAGTTGAAGTAGTCCTGCTTGCTCTAAGTAGAGGGCTAGGCCAAATTACCTCTTCAGGCACTTTCCTAAATTATTCTATGATTCTAAGACTCAATGATTAAGTGCTTGGTGACCAGTTACAAAAGCCACAATAGGAAGAAATGATGACTTGCAATTGAAAAGGGGAAAAAAATTACTAATTAGTTAAAGCGTCCTTATAGAAAGAATCAAACAACCTTCTTTCCTAACTTGAATGCTTTGCTTTAAATTTACTGTTGTTGCAGATGACTATCTGGGAGAACTCAGAACTCTAAAGTGGTATCAGTTTTTGCAAAACATGTAAAAAAATCATGTGGACAAAATACAGGAAGGAAAACCAAAAATATTGTTTTAAGAAGTAAACCCCAAATACCCACAATTTTATCAATCTGAAGGGAAAGGTTCCAAGAAAATGTGACAAATAGCTTTGTCCAGAATTTCCTTTAATCATTTACAAGACTTAGCTGTGCCAAAGCTGTTAATTTTGTTTCCTGACACATTTGAATGAGTTAGGTTGGCAACTTACATCTGCATGGAGAAAATGTTACACAGAATGACTGGCACTGAAGTTTCTCACCTTGTACAACAACTTGGTTGCTGGGTACAAGTATCTGTTGTCCATCTGTGGTTTGTGCATATTGTAAAATGGTGGTGCCAGGTTGGGTTGCCGCTGCGTTGGTCATAGTCAACGTCTGGAGACCTTGTACTCCATCTGTGCCATTGTTAGACAACTGTATTGCTCCTCCTTGGGTAATAGCAACTGAAGAAAAAAAAAAAAATTAACCACCATTGACACAGCATTTAAGACACTAACTTACTCATTACATTAACTTACAATATTATACCTAGATATGGAAGAATACTGATCTGAGTTAAACCCTGTGACCCCTTATACACCCTCAGATGAGACACATAGCTTTAATGTACAGTGAAGAAATCATTCTTTGAAAGTAAGTTTTCAATTTTTCATGAGACAAGTATTTTTGGGGCAGGGGAAGAGGGGGGTAAAAACCACAGCCTAACCCACAAATTAGTCTCTCTGATAAAACAGCATCACAGAGCTACAGTCCTCCCCCAGGAAATAATTTTTACTTTGTGAGTTAAGATTTTCTTCTTGGTTGGTTTATGTCTTTTCCTCAGTCCTTTCTTTTTAGTTCTCATCTGAAATTCCTCTCCTTTTCCATCCTTTATGTCCTTCAGTCTCCTCCGCTGCTACTGCTATCAGTCTTGTGTTTCACTTTCTTCTTGCACTGGCACTTTTTTTTCCTTGATGGTATCCCTTCCCTTCTCTACAACTTCCTCAGCACATTCCTAGAAGTGTTTTAATTCACAAAGGTCCAGTTTCACACTGTTTTTTTCTCCTTCAAGCAGTCTTTGCTGGGCTTTTCCCTTTCTTTCCCTCAAACCTATCATGCAGGTATACTGAGACATCACCCCTCATTTATGATGCCTCAGAACTTTACTGTGTTCTACACCCCAAAATCTCAAGAATCTGCACAAGCAGTTATTTCACTGTTATGGTGGGAAAGCAGAGTCAACCAGATCAGTTTCAATAAAATGAAGTAGGGTATTAGGCAAAGTGGCTCCTAAGAAGTAAGCAGAGATACCTAAAGAGATTTTTATGAGAAAGATGTAGCAGTTCTTTCTCCTTTTTGTGTATTTAATACTGTGTTTGTTTGTGTGAGACAGTCTGTGAATTCTAGCTTTACTGCTGCATCCTCAATCCTTTAAGTCAAAGCACTGTATCTATAAAACCTAACGAATAAAGGAAACATGGAAACGTACATTTATTACATATTTTAAGTAAGATTGCTGAAGTTCTTTTTTTTTCTCATTACTTTCTAAAAATTAATTTCAAACTGTAATGTTTTTTTCTATTAATGAGGTTATAATTTTGCCAACCAGTATTGTTAATCTGCCAGGAAAAAAAAGAGAGTTCTGAATTACCTCATATGATTCCTGAAGTGAAAAAGCCTGTAATAGCATTACAGTTAGTTCGTATTTTGCCTCAGGATGCAGTAGCTGCGCTAACTGGCAAGCAGTTCCAGAACGTTAATCGAACATTTCAAATACTTACAGCAGGA